TCACCCCTAAATTAATCCCTTAATTTCCCAACTACCTTTGTTTTTCTTATATCGTTCTATTATCAACCTCCGGCCGTAACCACCCCAACCGCCCCAACTACCTCACCACACCCCGCAGGCCGCCTGGACGCACCTCTCCCGGGAGTCCGGTGTATCCTTGTCGTACATTGACGGCGGCGTGCTGTCTACCCAGGTCTCCAGCCGTATGGCCCTGCCGTACGACCACGTGACGGGTTTTACCCACGACCACCTGGCTATTGGAACCGCCAGTGGGGACTGTGTGCTCGTAGACGTTACCAGGCGAGTGCTGTGTGTGTGTATGTATGTATGTGTGTGTATGTGTGTGTATGTATATGTGTATGTGTATGTGGGCGAGGTACACGTGAAACAAACTTGTTTTTTTTGCCTTGCTGCATACCCGTACCCCTCCACACACCCTCCTCCTTACCCCACCCCCCGGTGCGTGTGTCTCTGTGTGTTTCTTTTCCGTACAGCGGCCACATCAGTTTCCGCTTCCCGGCCTACAAGCACCAGCCGCTGCAGATCCTGGCTCCGGATCTGGATCGCGGGATCCTGGTCACCGTCAGTCGTACGACAATCAAGATCTGGACCCTGCACGACATGCGGTGTATGCATGAACTGTGCACCAGTCGACCGGTGTGTACGTGTGTATGTCTACCTGTCTGCACTTCTATAGTGTGGTTAAAGTAGTAGGCAGTAGTAAAAGGTAAGCCAGTTGGCTGCAGCAGTAGCTCTCCGGCAGTAGCAGCAGCAAATCTGGCTGCAGCAGCGTGAGTGTCTCTCTGTCAGTCTGTCTCTCTTGCTTTGTTCACACGTACATCACCTGCACAAGTCATGCATTGACACACGTACGTGTGCAACGCACGTCTGAATATGCCGAACTGACATCTTAGGATCTTAGGAACGGTGATGAGCAGGTTAGTTTGTACGGAATGATCCATCCGCATTTCTTATGTCTGTTAGCACGTCATATGGCGTGACAGCGTCGCCTACGTGAACGATGGGGTGAGAAAATACGACGACCCTAACCACCCCAACCACCCGCAACCATTCCTTCATTTCCCCCTTCCCCCTGTCCTCAACCCCCTAGGTAACCCGACTAGAGCTCTTGGAGGGTCGTGCCGTACTCGGTACGGTAAGTGGTTCCGTACACGTCATGGAATTGAGTTCCGGTGCCTCCAACGCCGCCTCCGTCACCGTCGACCACATGGACGCCGTGACGGGGCTGGGGCCTTCCGTGTATTTGCAACACGTGGTGACTGGGAGCAAGGACTCGCACATTAAGGTGGGTGGGGTGGGGTGCGGTGGGGTGAAGTTGCGTGAGTGCGGGTCGAACTTGATGCCTATGTGATTCTGCGTTGGCGAGTTATGGGAGAGGATGGAAACGGTGAGATTTTACATGCGGCGCTTTGTTGGAATG